ATGTGTATTGTGATTCATTATTCATGTGTCTTATTTAAAGTAGATGTATCTGTAGTCCTTTTGCCTTATGCTGGTTGTGTAGACAGAAAACACTGGTTGGGGGTTAAAGGGCTACAGTGGAAAGGGAAGTATATTTCCCCTCAACAATGTTACCCCAGTATCCGAAGATAGTTTCAGTGTAAATGTCTACTGGTAGTTTATCTCTGAGAACTTAGACCTAGTAGCATGAGAACAGGTACAAACTTAGAGAAATGGGGTGTTTCACACACCTAAGTGAGAGGCATGAGGCCCCAAAATATATGTTGGAGGGTGTTTATATCCCACCTTGTCTACAAACCCCACCTATAGCAAGATGTACATATATGTATATGTGTATACATGTGTATATGTATATGTTTGTATACATGTGCATAGGTATACATTCACATTGTGGGGACATTGGAAGAGACCAGTCATCCATCCTCATTACATATGGGCTTCATGATGATTCACAATCATAACGAGTGTGGGAAATGATCTATACGTCTTATTTCTGCCTTGCTGAAATTTATTTTTATATTTAATTTAAGAATAAATAACAGAGGATGAATAGTAAGGCATGGATTTATCTATCCTTATGTATTAATCAGTAAGCATGATCTATTTCTTCATAAATATATTTTTCACTCAAATCTGTATTCATGTTTTTATTTTCATTCAGGCTAACAGTGAATAGCTATTGTAAAGAAAAAGAAAGAATAGAAGAAATCCTAAGTCTTTTATTGACATTTTTAGAAACCGGTCAATTTATTCATATACGTTTCCTATGCAGAATTAATGTTCTGAGATTTCACTATTTAGGAATGCTGCTGTTTGGAATTCTATGTTACATTTGTTGTTGCAGTTTAACTGCAGTAATAGTTTAATGAACTTGAAAAAATGATATTCCAGTACTGGAGATGGGATTTGAGGAGTAATGGACAGAAGGAAAATGTACTAGAAATGATGCTACTATCTTAGGGAAATGCCTCTGGTTTTAAACAGAGAGTCTCAGAGGAACTCATCTCTAGTTGCACTCAGAGACATAACTGTGAATTATGGTACCTGAGGCATATTCAATTGAGCCAGAGGCAAGGTGTGGACAGAGGATGGTCCACTCTGATTATGTGAAAAACTGTCTGTGATTTGCATGGCTTGGTTGATGACCACAAAGAATACAGAGGGGGAAGAGGTAGAAGTGGCAAACTGGGGTTAGTGGCATTGGAGGAAGATGGATCCCAAGAGAGGGTCAGGACCCTTGGGTCTGGTGCTATGTGGTACATGTCAGAGGTCCAAAGCTCAGGAAGCACGCCCCCTAGGGGTGAACATCCTGAGTTATTGTTGTGTCCAACTCTTCATGACCCTATTTGGGGTTTTCTTGGCAAAGATAATGGGATGGTTTGCCATTTCCTTCTCCAGCTCATTTTAAAGGTGAGGAAACTGAGGGAAACAGAATTGTGACTTGCCCAGAGTCACATAGCTAACATGTGTCTGAGGTCAAAATAGAACTCATGAAGATGAGTATTCCTTATTCCAAGCCCAGTGCTCTAAACTGTACCACCTAGTTTTCCAAACACCCTGGACAAAGCTTCAAATACCCATCTTCATTACGAATTTGGTTGTGCTAGCTATTGCAATCATTATATTAATTAGAATATTGCCCATATTCTTTTCCCCAAATATGGATTTAAATGAGACCTATAGTGATGCTGTTTTCCCAGTTAATATCTATGTAGTTATTATTTCTTAACAAAAAACATTTGTTTTAGTGAGACAGTTCATATTTAGGGATGATCTATATTTGGAACGATACAGTATTTAAAACAGGCTCAAAAAAAAAGTGTGGGCAGGTAAGTGGCACAGTGGATAGAGGGCCAGGCAAAAGTCAAGACAACTCAACTTCATGAGTTCAAATATGACCTTAGACACTCACTAGCTGTGTGACTCTAGGCAAGTCACTTAACCTTGTTTGCCTCAGTTTCCTCATCTGCAAAGTGAGCTGGAGAAGGAAATGGCAAACCAACCCAGTATCTTTGCCAAGAAAACCCCAAAAGGAGTCATGAAGAGTCAGACATGACTGAAAAATGACTAAACAACAATGAACAACAAAAAAAGTATTATGAGCTAAGACAAACAAGTTTTTGAATGACTCAGATATAGATAGAATTGATATTCAGAGAATATCAAATTAATCTTTAATATCATCAAACTCTCAGTCTCCCAACTATTCCCCTTCTACAAGTATACTCTTTGAGTGTAGTTTCATCAAAAAGATGAAGACAGTACACATTGGTTAGGCCACAGTGAGTGTATTTGTACAAAAATTTAACTGTGACCAATGAGTCATTTGTTTTAAAAGTGGCAGCCAAAATCCTAGGCTTATTGGACAGGTAGAGGGAAATGACACTTTTGCATTTTAATGAGGGACTCAATCCTTATCCAATTCAATGTCTTCATTTTACAGATGAGAATTAAAATCCGCAAAGATTAAGCAATTTACCAAAGATCTTATAGGTAGAAGCACTTCAGCCTTCCAGTTCCAAATCCTGGGCTCTTTCCCCTGCCTCCTGTCATCTCAGTTACTTTATCAGTAAAACTGAGGGACTATAAGAACATAGATTTAGAATTGGAAGTAACCTTAATTATCATCTAATTCAGCCTTCTTATTTCATTTGTGAGGATGCATCAATCAAGAGGTTAAATAATTTGTCCAAGGATAGACAGGTAGTAAGGGGCAGAGTTGGAAATGGAAACCAGAGCTTCTCAAGTCCAGTACTCTTTCCACTACAGCATGATGCCTCAGTTTTTTCATATGTCACATGATAGCAGAATCAGACCAGATGACCTCTGATGGCACCTTCAAGTTTGAAATCTATGATACTATTAACTTGAAAAGAGCCTGTTGCACTCAATGTTTTACAAAACACATTAAGAGCAGAAGATAATGAAGTTGTATTAAATACTAACAGTCTGTTGAAACTGGTTGAGGATTTGCTCTTGGGAAAATAATGTTCTAATTGCAGTAACAATTGTCTTCCTATGAGCAAGTTAACAACACCCCAACCTTTTCAACAATGAGTCACCAAAATATGTATTTTAGTAAAAATTATAGGAAAAAGAAATGCTTATTGCACTCTTGCAGCTGTTCATAGTGTTCTTTTTCTTTATTTTTAATAAGTTTTTATTGATGTCTCCTGTTTCTCACATCATAGTTATCCCAAGTATCCTTCCCCCTTCCTCTCCAGAGAGCCACCCCATATAACAAATAACAAATAACAATTTTTAAGGAGGAAAAAAAATCAGCACAACTGATTGATCCACTGAAAAAATCTGAAAACATGTGTGATGTGTGAGACCACAAAAGGGTAGATTGAGGCTGTCTTCTCACATCTCTTCATTTAAGCCATGCTTGATCTTCATAATTTTTTACATTCACTTTTGATTTTTTGGTGTGTGGTTGTTCTTTCCATTTACATTGTGTATATTTTTTTTTAGTTCTTCTTATTTCAGTATTGCATCAGTTCATGTAAATCTTTCCATGTTTCTCTGCATTCACCATACATGTAATTTCTTATAGCATAGTAATGTTCCATTACATTTATGTATCACAATTCGTTTATCCTTTCCCTAATTGATACGTATCTACTTTGTTTCCAATTCTTTACTACTACAAAAAGTGTTGCTATAAAAATTTTGGAATATATGGGAACTTTATTCTTATTCATAGATTCCTTGAGGCATAAAGGGTTAGATATTATGGTTACCTTATTTGCATCATCCCAAATTTCTTTCCAAAATTATTGTACCATTTTACAGCTCCATTAACAATATATTAGTGTGCCTATCGTTCCACAATCCCTCCAATATTGGCTATTGCCATTTTTTGTCATTTTTACTAATTGGTAGGGTGTGAGACTTAACCTCAGGGTTGGTTTGTTTTGCATTTTTTCTTCTTATTATTTATTTAAAACATCCTTTCATGTCGTTGTGAATATTTTTCAATTCTTCATTTGAAAACAGTTTGTTCACGTCATTTGATCACTTATGTATTGGGGAATGGCTATTCATCATATATATGTATATACACAAATATATTTATTGTTTATATATCTTGAATGTCTAACTCTTATCAGAGAAATTTGATATAAAGATTTTTTCCATTCCATCAATTCCCTTCTTATAATAGTTGCATTAATTTTGTCTGTGCAGAAGCTTTGCAGTTTCATGTAATCAAAGTTATTTAGCTTATCTTTTGCAATTACCTCTATCAATTGTTTGGTTAAGAACACACCTCCTACTCATAACTGTAAGGTTTATATGATTTGTTTCTCTTCTAATTTTTTATAGTATGATCATAAATATTAAAGTTATATATCCTTTTAGAATATATTGTAGAATATGGCATAAGGTATTGGTCTAAGTCAAATTTCTGCCAGACTGCTTTCCAGTTTTCCCAGCAATTTAAAAAAATCAAATGAAGAGTTTCCCTCCCACCTAGGTAATTTATGTTTTCCAATTTATCAAACACTAGGCTATTGAGTTCCATTGTTTCTGATTCTCCTTTTTCTAGTGTGTTCCATTGCTTTACCTCTTTATTTTTTCACCAATATTAGATGGTTCTGATGACAGATACTTTATAATATTGTTTGAAGTCTGGAAGTGTTTTCCTCCTTCATCTCTACTTCTTTTCATCATTTTACTTGGTATTCTATATGTTTTCTTTTTCCGAATAAATGTTATTATTTTTTCCAATTCTATAAAGTATCCCCTTGAAAATTTAATTATTAGAGTATTAAAAAGTGTAAATGTACTTCAGAAGTATCATTCCTAATTTAACTTTAAAGGCTTATTGATGTGTTTTCTTAACCTACAAAATTTTTACTAACATATTCTCCAAAGGTAATTTTATTCCCTTCCCATCTCAAACAAACTTCAGTTACATATGGATATCTTTGAGTTTAATTTTTCTTAAAAGAACTTACCACATAGTTCTTCTGTGTCGAGATTGCTTAAAAAGAAAGAAAGAAAGAAAAGAAAAAGAAAGAAAAGAAACATGATTACTTCCTCTGGATTTTAAATTGGATTTTTGTAAAATTGAATACAGTCACTTTCTAGCCCACAAAAAGGCACTATATGACAATGTCTATTAGAGATATTCACCTATTGAATCCCAAATTGGTCTATATCATATCAGTAATAAGCATGAACTGAGCCAGATTGTTTCAGTGCATAAACTACTTCTTTGAAATATTGGGAAAGTTGTAGCCTAGAAGAGGTGATTCTTGAGCCCTCCAGTTATTAGTTCCCCCCCCCCACCTCCTTTACTTTGTATATATCCACCATTTACTTATATGTGAACATATTGTTATCTCACCCCCTTCCAGTCCCCCAGTATAATACAAGTTCTTTGATGATAGAGACTATTTCCTTTGTATCCCTGAGGCCTAACACAGGAGCACCTAATAGTGGGCATCTAATAAATGCTTGGTGGATTGAGGCTATGGTTTATTTTCCTTTACAAAGTACTTTCCCCACAACAACTCTGTGAGATTGGTAGCATAATTATAATTATCTTCCATTAAAGATAAAATAGCTTAGGCTCAATGAAATAAAGTAATTTAATCAATTAATTGGTCAAAATAGGACTAGAATCCAGGATTTTTTTTTGAACTCTAAGTCAAGTGCTCTTCCCATTATATCAGAATGACTCTTTTTGCGAGGCAATTGGAGTTAAGTGACTTGCCCACATAGCTAGTAAGTGTCAAGTGTCTGGTCTGAGACCAGATTTGAACTCAGGTCCTCCTGATTCGTGCTCTATCCACTGCACCACCTAGCTGCCCCATCAGAATGACTCTTACAGGCATCTGAGAATTCAGGGGAGAGAAATGGCGTGGGGGTAGATGAGGGTTTAAGAAAGGCTGTGAAACTTTGCATGAAGTTGTGCCATTATGACTTCTGGAATAAACACAGACTATTGGAATGAATCTATGGGAATGATTTAGACATAAATCAAAGGCCCTTAGATACACTGTTTTTTTTTTCTCTGATTTATATCTCATCATACAAAGCTATAGAATGATACTTTAGAGCTCCCAGAAATCTTATGGTCAACCACCCTTATTTTACCTATGAAAAAACGGAGGCCTTCACAGAATTCCTTTAACAGATGAGCACACTGAGACTCAGAGCTATTAAGTACATTCTCCAAGGTCATACCACTCAGTAGTCAGGGGCAAAACCTAGGTTTCCTTATTCCTAATTTATGTTTTATCATTCTGTCTTTCTGCCACAAAACAAACAAACAAATAAAAAACATGCAAACATTTCTGGCATTGAAGCTGATGCCATTCGCATCCTTTTCTCTTAGGAGTTCAAGTAATAAAAATAACTACTGCTTTTTATATGAAATTTTACAGAGCAAAAAAGCACTTTGTGAAACAGGTAGTAAGCATTTCATCATCAATATTATTATTATTCTTTTTGCAAATGAGAAAACTGAGTTTGGGAGTTTAAGGGACTTGGCCAAAGTTCATATAGCTTCTAAGTACAAGATGTCCCAAAAAATCTCAGTACGATTGTAAGCTATTAAAAATTTAAAACTGCAGTAAGAATTTTGGGGCCCCCTGTAAAAGAGCTAACTCAAACCAGGTTTTTTTTGTTCCAATTCAAGTACTCTTTCTACTCTTTTTTTGGGGGGGTAAGGCAATTGGGGTTAAGTGACTTGCCCAGGGTCACACAGCTAGTGCATGTGTTTGAGGCCAATTTGAATTCAGGTCCTCCTGATTCCACAGCCGGTGCTTTATCCGCTGCACCATCTGGCTGTCCCTCTACTCATTTTTAATGGCCATAATAAGAACAATACTTTCCCACTCATTAAAAAAAATCCGTATCATTGTTTTTACAATGATACATCACAGTAATTTCCAGAAATACTTCTCCCTTGATCCCCAAAAGCACCGAACAAGCCTCTTTTTAACAAAGAAAATCGATTCAGCAAAGCAAATGACATAGGAACCACATATGTCAATATATGCAATGCACCCATAGTCACTAACGTCATAAAGGAAATGGAGAGTAAATTTCCTCATCTCTTTTTTTTTCTCCTAATCCACACTGAAACCTTAATTTCTTGTGTCGAGATGCAGACCATAGGAACTAAGAGTATTCTTCATGCCAATAGCCACAGCTATTTCTTACAGAAGCAACCTGCTAACGAAACCATATAGAACATGGCCTGGAACACCTCTATTTTCAGCAGTTTTTGTTCTGCATTGTTTGTGAGAGGTGGTATAAATTGTATGCATTTATAGCAGGGCTACGTGACTGAATTTTAGCAAGCAAGATTTCTTATTGTATCATATTTTCATCTTGCAATATCATGGGAATTTAAAGAACAACCAAGCCATATGCACAGCATATGTTAGTCTTTCAAACGACCCTACTCTTTGTACACACGTGTATACATATCTAGGCATGACTACAAATTCTAACTATGGCATTAAAATATAGAAGAAGATAAAAGAACACACACTATAAAATGGATGTGTACTCACTGAAATGTAGCATCAGAATGATTCCTATTACTAACTATACAGTCTTTGTTAGATCTAATAGAGGTATAAGAACAAAATATTTTTCTTCTTAGCATAGGCTTGTAGTTGTTGTTGTTGTTGTTTTATTGGTCTTATTGTTTTTCCAGTTCAAGATAGCTATGCTATACTGTAGAGGAATCACTAACAGCTCTTTAGGCTTCTAGGCCCCTTTAAAACTTGTTGCTTGTTTTCTGAGCATAATTGTTATTTTGTTACGATTTTATTACAATGAGGTTGTTTTGAGGTAATTCTTTGTCAACTCTTAGTGTCATTTTTCGCTTATGACCATAACTTGTCAGTTAATGAGCATTTATTATCTGCTATGTGTCAACCATCATTGAAATGCTTATTTCCTCATATCACCAGCTTCTGCAATATCTCTAACAGTCACTGAAGTGTACTCTGAAAGAGCTGCAAGTTTTACATATTTCCTTGGAGTAATATTAATTCTTAAAAAACAGAATTAAAAACAGAGAAGAGATCAATAAAACCTATGTGTACCCAGAGCTTGACATGGTGTCTGACACATAGTAAGTGATTAATAAATGTTTATTTGATTAATTTATGGCAGGAAATGCATTACTAATCTAATAGAGAACTAACTAAGAGTGAAGAAACTAGCTCAATGTGTTTTTAATCTGGTCCAGGTCAAACGTTCTGAATCAGCCTCTCTTCAGCAGAAATATACATGCATGACCATTGCTATTACAAAATAAAATAATATCAACATTTTTGCTTTTCCCAAATAATTAATACATGACTTTTATGATATTATTCCATTTCATCTTATTATCCTTGAGAAGCAAGGGTGGTATGACTTGATGATTATGAAGTTAAAACAACAACAACAACAACACCTTACAATTATCCCTTTCACATCACAAGGGTTAGGGGCCAGAGCCCCTGAGATCTAGAAAATCTTTGTAAAACTTTTTGGCCGTCCCTTCATACCAGAGAAGAAGCTGAATGGTTTTTTTTTTAAATGGGATGTTCACAGTACCTTATTGTAAAATTTCGTTGATACTATACAATACTATTCATATATTTTATGCATTTCTGAGTTTCTAAACTTTTTTTGTGTCATCTGGTGGCCTTTGTGTGTCGTCTGTTTGCTTGTTTTGTGGCAGAAAGACAGAATAATAAAACATAAACTAGGAATGAGGAAACCTAGGTCCTGAACCTGGCTTTGCCCCTGACTACTGAGTGGTATGATCTTGGAGAACTTACTTAATGCCCCTGAGTCCTAGTATGCTTCCCCAAAATTTCCATTTAATTTCTTATACATGCACCTTCAATATATAGAAACTGTGATGGGAAAAGTCTCAATGTGGAAGGGATAACTGTAGATTTGAATCTTATCTACCTCCCAGTTGCGTGACCTTTGGCAAATCATTTCACTACTCTGAGACTTATTTAAAAAAAAAATAAAATAGGGAAAATTGTACTTAATAGGATCTGGCTTCAGGGGTTGTTTTAAGGACCAAATGAAATAATTGATATGAAAGTGTTTTGTAATGGGCAAGTGTTATGTAAAGGTTATCCCAAAAGTTTTAGTGGAGTTTTAGTTACTAAAGCTTAAAACTGAACTAAGACTTTTGGGACACTTTGTATAAATATATTCATAATGATATAGACAATTTCTAGATCAACAAATTTTTTATGCCAATATTCAGGTTTGTCAAAAGTAGTCTTTTGACATTTGAACCTATAAAAAAGAAACATGTTACAAAAAACTGAATTTATTTTATTGAAAACATTTGGTAATGCCTAATTCCCACACTAAGTCCCTACTCCAGTGCCTCATCCTGGTCTGGAGGTGAGTAGGGGTCTTTGAAACTATGCCCACAGAGAGCTAAGTAGCAGATTCAGTCAAACTGGAAAGGTTTTGAAATGTGAGTCTGGAAATGGACTGTGAATTTGTCATCTGAGGACCAGCCATCACCAAAAGGATGGCTACCAGGTGATTGCTTTTTAGCCACAGAAAGCCTCTACTAATCTGTGGAGGGCCTGGCTCTGTGGAGTGAGGACCCACATCCATGAAATCACGGCCACCTGAAGTCTTGGAGATGAGATGGCTGGAATTGTATGTACTTCCCCCCAACCCCCATTTCAGGCACCAGTATGATTCCAGAGAAGCTAAACAGATTTGCTGCCTAATGGGCTTTGTGCTTATCACTTTTAAGATACACATCTGTGATAGTAATTTCAGCTTTGCATCTGAATATACTACTACTACAGTATCTATTTTCACCTACAAGTTCTTAATATAAAAAACAAATAAAAACAATCTCCCTGAATAATTTGATATTAAAATCATCAATCATTTATGTAGCACTTTAACATTTGCAAAACATTTTATATATGTGTTATCTTATTTTCCTAGCTCTGTGCTATAGGTGCAAACATTATTTCCACT